CCTCCCTGCACTGGCTTCCTGTGCACTTGAGGATTAACTTTAACATTTTGGTTTTAACTTCAAAGCTTTCCATGGCCATGCTCCTAAATACATTATTGACCTTTTGGAACCTTTAGCTTCATCTAGGACTCCGAGATCTTTGAGTCAAATGTTATTGTCTGTACCCCGAACCTGTTTAAAAACCCATGGAGACCGCACTTTTCGGGCGGTGGCTCCGAGGCTCTGGAATGCCCTCCCCATGTCCCTGCGCTGCAGACTCCACAGTCTCTTTTTTTTCAGACAGGCTTTTGCTTAAGTTTTTTTGTTTTGTTTTAATTGTCTTGTCTTTGTGAAGCACTTTGTGATCTATACGTCTGTGAAAGGTGCTATAGAAATAAAGTTTTACTTACTTAACATGTAAACTCCACCCAGAGGGGCCCCCGGACTGGGATTTGAACCAGGGTAAACTGTTCGCTGAGAGACAGCAGCTCTACCAGTTGCACCACCGTGCTGCCTCCCAACAAAGTTCTTTAGAGAAATCATTGAATGAATAACGGTTCTTTGTGTCCCACTGCCACTCAGTGATTGGGATGGCTGTGGCTGAGTGGTTAGAGCAGTTGTCCTCCAATGGGAGAGTTGGGGGTTCAATTCCACCAGCAGTCACATGCTGAAGTATCCCTGGGCAAGACACTGAACCCCTCATTGCCTCCAGTGTGTGTCCCATCAGTGTCTGAATGTGATCTAAAACTCTGATTAATCTTTGTACAGATCTAGTAGATTGCTGTATGAATGGATAAATGAGGCACAGATTGTTGTAAAGAGCTTTGAGTATCTCGATAAGATAGAAAAGAGTTACATAAGTGCAGTCCATTTACCCCATAACTTTGCCTTACCTGACAACAGGTAGATGACGTAAGCCACCTTGGAGCGTTCAGATAGGAAGGAGGAGGGATGGAGCTGGAAATGGATCTCACACTGGGTTAGAAACAGGCAACATTGATCAGGTTCCCCTTTGAACACCTCTGGTGGGGACAATCAAGGCTCATGAATGGGAGTGAGGATTAGGTTGAGCTGATGTCACATGTGGGGGAGCCTGTGGTGCAGTATGGTTATACAAGGTACAGCGCATGTTTATCATTTCCTGCAAATTGTGTTCTAATTTCATAATTGCTCTCTCCACACCAGAGTGCCATTCTTGTGTTGGTGTCAAATCCATTTTGGCCAGATTATACTTAATAAAATCAACAAGAAGGGTTAAAAAGTTTATTGTAATGCAGATGCTTGTGTGAATCATGGTCCAGTGCTGGGGCCAATCTGCAGAGATATGAGAGTTAGTGGTCTGTATATTTCTGAGAAAATGAAGGTGAACAGAAAAACAGGCACTAACCTTTTCAGGCAGATGAGGTGGGATCCACCTGTCAGAGCAGGATAGGATGACGTCACTGTCACTGGATGCAGGGCAGCTGCAGAACAGTGCTGTGATAAATGTGGCAAGTGGGGTAATCCAAAAGGTTCGAGGTTTGTGGGTCAGAAGGAGTAGTCAGTAACAAGATCAGAACAGCAAGACAGGGAGCAGACAGGGAGCATTCAGATCGAAATGTCCAGAAGGAAGGCATGGGGTCAAGGCGAGAAGATCAAACAAGACTGTGAGAGAAACGCTGGACATCTACTTCCAAAAGGGTTTGATAATCTGGACTTGTAAATAATCTGAAGTTCTCCTGTCTGTATGAAACGTCTCCAGCTGTTATCAAACATTTCTGTGTTCGTTTCCTGTATCCTGTTTCCTCCTCAGATACCTGAAGCCCGACACTCAGAAGAAATCCAAGCACAAAACAGCGGTGCTGAAAAAGACCCTGAACCCTGAGTTTAATGAGGTAAGGACCTCCAGCTGCTAACCTCTGCTGGATCCACATCATCTCCTCCACGGCGGAGCAGCCATGTTGGCGAGCTACTGCTGACTCTCCTCACATCCGAGTTTATTGTTTCATTTCGCCTCCTCTGGGTCTCTGGCAGCGGTGCTGCTCATCCAGCAAGAAAAAGAAAGAGCAGGAAACCTCTCAGAACCAACATGAGTTTCTAAGAAATCAGAAAAATCTTTGTGAGACATTAAACCTGTCCTTGAAATAAATGAGTGCGTATGAAGGCGGAGCTTTAATTATGACTTTAGCTGTAAATTAATAAAACTGAAATGATTCAACATCTTGTTGTGTCAAAAGACGATTTAATTATTTTACAGATTAACAGAAGATACAAAGGTTAAACTCTGAAGATGAAAACTTGTTTCAAATCCTGATTAAACTAAACATCTGTAAACTCAGAACCAGTAATACCGCTGTATGGGTTTGACGTTATATTTGATTTATTTTGTGTTTGCTCTGCTCTCTGTTGGCTGCAGGAGTTTTTCTACGAGATCTCTCTGTCTGAGCTGGCCAAGAAAACCCTGGAGGTGACGGTGTGGGACTACGACCTGGGACGCTCCAACGACTTCATCGGTGAGACCGACCACGAGACCCAACCTGAACCGCTTTAAGGTTCACAGAAACATGCCAGATGTTAGTTGAGTAACAAAATGTTTAGTGGGATTATTCGGCATATAGAAGCTGTTGTAAATAACAGACAAGGTTAACAGCAGGAACCGCTCTGTGCAAACTGCAGATCAGGGCCTGAAAAGTCCAACAGAACCACATTATCTGTAAAAAGGAGAGATGAGACACTGAGGTTCCCAATCCAGAACCGTCCCCACCGTAAGATCCTGTCTAAAGACCACAAACAGGATCAGAGACCAGAATCAGACCTGGTGGAGTCCAAAGAACATCAGGAACAATGTTACTTCTAGTGTTTGCGCCTGCACAATCTCGTACTGCTCGCACATTCTCAGTGCACAAGAAAATCTATGCAGTGCATAAAATAAAATTCAACATAAACTGTAAATTAATTAGACCAATAAATTTTTTTCTGTGTCATTTTGCAATGTAACTCAGTGAATGACAGGTGTCCAGCCACTGATACGATACGGTTCACTTACGCTACACAGCCAGTCATAGCACTGACAGTGCTGGCGTATGTGCCCTGCCCGTACCGTGGTGAGATGTTTTCTTTTTTGAGTGAGAAGGTCTGTTCTGCAAAACATGCAGCTGGACACGGATGCTCTTTTTCCAGTAGATGAACTAAAGGAGTGTTCTGCATTTGACACTGAATCACTGAGCTCAGACATCAGTTCTGACTTTGGATCAGCAGACTGTGCCACACTGGCAAAGAAGTATGAAGCCATTCTCCACCACCCACAGGATCAGAGAGGAGGCCATGAAGTCAATATGCTGAATTCACGTTCATAATGAAGCAAAAACTAAAAAGAAAATGTAACTGAAAACAGCAAGATTATAAAACGATGTAGAAAACTAAAACCAGGAACATGTCTGCATTGGTTGTTCTCTGGATTCCTCACCTTGCTTTACCCTTGCCTGTTCTGGATGCCTTCATCTGACCCTGCTTTTTGATCACCCTGCCAATGCCTCTTGGATTATTCTCTGGTTTAGTTTGCTTGCCTTCTGACCAACGGTTCTCAACCCAAGCTTGTCCCTCTGGATTTCTCTGCTGCAAAATCTTCAAACAAACGCTCTGCTCTGCCGCTCCAACTTTCTGCCGGCTCTCAGCCCGTGACGTCATCGTCCTCAGCCAATATAAGGATTCGTCCCAGCTCTCGACTGTGAAGGTTAATGACTGCTCCTATTATTATTATCAAGACCTTCACAGTCAGGCTAAGTTTACTAATCCACATATCTCTGCAGATTGGACCCGGGCCCGGAACCAGATTGTAAGGATGGTATCCCTCTGTCTGTCTCCCTGCGTCTGGTATCCTCCTATGATGAGAGTTCTGTGATGGAGCAGTCTGCTCCTCAGATAAATAATGTTAATTTATTATTTGTATATTTATGAATGTTTCTGTTCAGTGTCCTGAGATGACTTCTGCTGTGACTTGCCGCTTTACAAATGAACTGAATTGAAAATCAGTTAACTGATCATAACAAACAAAGACTAAACTCATGCAACCAGAAGTTGCAACATACATCTATATACAGAACACACAACACAAAGCACAACTAGCTTTAAGCATTAACCTTTAATTCACCATTAAGCATACAATGTAATTGTGACAGAAAATGGAGGATTTACCTGCAGTTATCTTCATACAGATGAACATGTGTTACTTCCTGTTTATTACTGTTGTATTCAGCTGATCATGAGGTCGGCCGCAGGGATTCATCCATCTTTTGCATTTTTCCAAATTTTGTTTAGTTTTAGAAATGTAATAAACTGTATTGCACCCTCTAAACGCTCAGGTTAACGCTGTCTGAATTACATGCTCTCCACTGACAACGCTTAACCATTTCTTCTGATGGTTTCTCACGAAATCCTTGCTCTGACCACAAAGTGTTTGTGATGCAAAACCCTGACAATGTTGTCGGAGGAAAAGAGGGTGGAGCTCCTGCAGGTAAGGGGCATTTCACTTCAGGACAAATTGAGCTCGCTGGTTGGTCAGTTGCTGATGAGCATTCTGGACTGATTGACAGGTGGCGTTGAGGATCCGACTCGTGGAAAAAATAATTCATAGATTTTACTGGCCCGTTTAAGAGTTTAAGATTTACTGCTTTTGAAAACTTTAATTCCTCTTTTTTCTGGATGTATATCGCTTTTTTACGATGATTATTTCCTCTGGTATCGGATGCTGTGCAGCTGGAATGATTTTTACTGAAACTTTTTTACTTTTGGACATTTGTTATGATGCGTAACCATGGCAACGAGGTGTTTTTTAACAACAAGGAGCAGCTGATCAACATCTCAAAAGCTCAGATATCTCATCTACAGCCCCAAATCCCACACGAGTTGAAAAGGAGGTGCCGTGGACAAATTCCTGTCAACCTGGCGGCGGTGCTTGAGTACCTCAACACCGAGATCCTGGAGCTTGTGAGAAACTCGGCTTGTGAGGAACTCTGCAGACTGCTAGGAGGAGTGACCATCAGTCAGGGAGGAATTCTGTCCGGCATTCCAGCAATCTTGCTGCCCAGGAGGACCGAGAGGCCCGCCGGATCTGACAGCAAGATGGATCTGGGTGGACGGATCGGTATCTGTGGCCAGATTCTTCGGCTTCACTGCAGGAGATCCTTCCTGCCCACAGCTATCAGCATCTATAACAACTCTTGAATGAAACCAGGATGATGAGCTACGACAACACTTAATTTCCCTCTGGGATTAATAAAGTATTTTTGAATTTTAATTGAATTTGAAAAGCTGTCGCTATTGGGTTTACCCATGCGCAGCGCACCGAACACTGAAAACTTCTAGTCCACGCCCACCTGCTGTGTGGGCCTCACCCGGTCCGTTATATATGTATCAGAAAGGAAATGGGGACGAGAACCGTTTCCTCTATGCTGCAGGTCATGTGACCTCTCACTCTTTCAGTTTTGTTTGTTTTGTTGTCTGTTGGGCTTTTCTTGTGTTTTTGTTCAAAATACGTCGCCATGGTAACTTCAAACACCTCTAACAGCACACGTCGCAGCCGAGACAGTCGTTTTGATGTATATTCAGTCTGGTTGCATTCTTCCATTCAATTATAAACGTTGCAACAATTATATATGAAGGGGCCGTGTGTCCCCCACATTTAAAAAATATTCATTCAGACCCCCCCAACATTTACCATGAAATATTAGTTCACTCAATGCTGTTTCTAGTTCTTCATGAACGAATCCATTCCGCTTGATTCATAGGAGAAAACTCAAACCACTAAAATTCACTCTGGGTTTTCCTGGTTACCTACAACTCACCACACCACATGCAGTGTTTCCCCGATGTCATCTGCCTTGGCAGGGCACTCGCAGGGGGAGGAGGGGGAGACACCTCTGTTTTGTGTGCTAGCTTAGCACTGGTGCTGGTAGTTGTGGACTGGAGTGGGGGGTTAGGATGTGTGACAGAAACAGAGTGACAGCCGAATCGTTTCCTTAGTTTACACATTTCCCAGGAGAAATTGATAGTCGGCCTGTTTCGAGGCCAACCGGGGACTCAGATTCAGATAACCAAAATTGTTGACTTATTCAGGCAGACCATTTTTTCCTTGTCAGCCTTTGAGTCTGTACTGATAACTTTCCAAGGTCCAAAATGGCCAGATTAGGGTACATTCTACTGGTCCGTGCTTACGAGCCTCTTCAAGGTCGTTTTCATGCTGACGAGTTCCAAAGCCGCAGGTGGCCTGCGATTCAAATCACTTCCAACTTACGGTTTCACTCGTAAATCAGCTGATTTTGAGAATTCCAAGTACAAACCAAACCTTCACATAGACAGCAGACTGGCGCGGTCCAAATTAGCTGCGGCCATTTTCTTTGTACGTTTATTAAACCAGGATTCAGACTATTCCAAAAACAGGAAACCTGTTATCATAACTCCAATTATATGTAATTTCGGTATCCTCGTTCGACAGCAGAGGTAGATACATCACCCCCAGAGATATATCCAGCTGCATGCGTTTCGTCCAAGCAGAGGAGGGTTCTCCAGGACCCTGTTGCTTTGTTGAAAAGATTTTGTCGTTTGCCTCAAAAGTCCAGTTGGTCAGATCCAAAACAGTAGTTTTCATTTCGGAAGATGTGTAAAAATAGGAGCTGCTCCGATACACAGACAGAGAGCAAAAAAGCAGGAGGAGAACAGGTGTTTACTTGTATAGGTAAACTTAAATGTTTAACAACCTGTTAAAATACGCCAGAATGCAGGAAATGGCATTTACTTTATTCTAAATTTTCTGGGGGAGGACCCCCAGACCCCCCCCCCCCCCCACACACACACACACACACACATTACAAATTGCTTTTGATGCCAATATGTTTGGGCCACATTAAAGTTGAACCAATCAGTACCTTTAGATGTGGACAGGGGTGTGTGCCGGCAGGTGTCATGTAACAAAAACTGTTTTAAACCCGCCTGTCTTCACTTAAGTCTACTCAAGGAAGTCAATCTGTGGGACATCTGCCAAGGCTGGTGCAATGCGGGCATTGAAAAGTTCTCAGACGTTCCAAGTGTTCCTTGGAGAACTGACTGAACTGTGTTCTTCCTGGTGTTCAGGTGGCGTATGCCTGAGTTGCCGGTCCCAGGGAGACGGTCTGCGTCACTGGATGGACTGCCTGAAGAACACAGGTCTAAAGGTAGAGAAGTGGCACATCCTGACCAACGAGTTGCCGCGAAGCTTCGGCCACGATTAACAGCAAAAGCCACATAGCGCCTTCAATGCACGCAGACGGTCTAATTACATATGGGACAGAATCATTCATCTGAATCACTTCGCTGGAACAGCCAAAACTCCACCACAATCAGACGAAAGTTCACTGGCATCAGCCAAAACTCTGACATAATCAGCCGAAACGTCTGTGGATGTCATCTGCAGCTGAGAGGATCGATAACTCCAGGCGGTGGTCAAGGTGGGGAGACGGTGTGCCTTCACCTCTAGATCCATCACCTCAGCAGCAGACTCTGGGTTCTGATGAGCAGCTCTATGGACTTTAAGACACTTTTCTAGATTTAAAACCATCAACCTGCATGTTTTTACTGCTGCTCAGAATATTTTGGTGTAAATCATATTGGGTTCATATAAAAATCAATGTTTCTGCTGTTTTAAACCAGGGAACTGGCAGTTGTGTGTAAATAGATTTAGCATGAAGTTAATGATATAATTTAATTTATTCTGGATTATTTGTGGTTTATTTTGTGACCGTTTTGTACTTTGGAGCCCTGAAGTGCCGTTAGTGATCGGTAAAGATGCATGAAGATTAAAACACCTCATTACGATTCGGGTCATGACTCAGCTTTTATCTGATCTTCCTTCCTGGTTTGACAAAACCCTGAGCCATCATTCGGCCTGGTTCTGTCTGAACTGATCCATCATTCAGCCCGGTTCTGTCATACGTCATGTTTCTCTGCACTCCGTCCCAAGGGGGTAACTGTGAAAACAAAGATGAAACTGTTGAAGAGGTTCTTCCTGGTTGCTGCATGATGCAGGAAGTTCTCTCCGTCTCAGAACCAACTGTTTTCAGAAAGACTCATGAGATGTTTGGATTCTGGTTCTGTTCTTCCTGTCTTTTGCACGACTGAATGTACAACTGTCTTTGGACCTTGGTGTTTTCAGCTCGTGGTTCTGTCTTTTTTTGGACAATGCAACAATAAACGTGGCTGCAGCTCAGACTGAGGCCCGGTGTTGTTCTGTTCTGGCTGCACTCACACAGTGACATTTTGGAGGACATGTATGAAGGCAGCAGACCAAGAGGTGATTTACATATGACAATGTACCAGTGAGAGAGTCTGCGTGAAGTTAATGATGACCAGCCAACCAGTTAAGTTAATGATGTCCAGTTAACCAGCGACGTTAATGATGTCCAGTTAACCAGCGACGTTAATGATGTCCAGTTAACCAGCAAAGTTAATGATGTCCAGTTAAC